GAAAGAAATATTTGAGCTTCCATTTATTTTTTATCTAAAAAATAAGAAATTAAGTGTACCTAGCATTCAATCTATTAATTATAAAAGAATACATATAATGCAAATAAGTAAATATGTGGTAGATGCTCAATTTGTTAAAAACTATAGGAGTGGGAAATTAAAAGTTTAGAGATTACTACTCTAAGGCAATTACCTACTGAAAGGCGAGGGTAGGTTTTATCCATGTCTGTATCTTCGGATCCCATCATATTATCTGGATCGAAAGAGATATCAATATTCTGTGTATGTCTTTTCTATCTCCCCTACTTTAAAGTCTTTATCCTATTGCATAATAGCAACTAGACCCATGCCTTGCAAATGGGCCCCTAATAAATGAATAGGTAGATGGATGGACAGAAGGATGAATCAGCATGGGGACAGGTGATTCACCAGACCCGCGTGCATTGAAATGCTGCAGAAACAGCCCTAGCACAATAAAAAACCTTGGGTTTTGGCGCTGGCACAAGTTAAAATCATCCAAGGACTGCCCTTGAGCAATTTACTTACCTTGTTTCCTAATCTGTGAAACAGGAAATGAATTAAATAGAAAGATGATGAAATGAGACAATCCTGTGGAAAATGCCAAAGCACAATGCCTGGCATTTAGTGGACGCTGCCCATATGTTCTCTCTCACTCTACTCTCTTCGCCCCGACTCCCACGCAGCCCGGTCCCCATTGTTAGGGCCAGAAATACTTAGCTACTGAGACAATGACAGGTATCACGCTGGTTTTGCCCCCAGGGCGCCTTTTACAAAAACTCCAAGGACCCAGAGTTATGGAGAGACCAGTGTGCCCAGAGACAGATGAGGTGGGCCTTAGTTAACTGAAAGGAAGGTAAGTTGGAAACTAGAGTTAAGACAACATGAGCTATAACAACCTTGGACTAACAGGTGTAACTTCAGGCAGCACGTGACTCGGCATCTTCCACTCTCACCTCTCCACTCCCTGCCACAAATGCAGCCTCTTAAAGAGGTGGAAAGCTCTTCGGCGCCAGAGAACCTAAGAGTGAGCAAACCACACCGTGCTGCAATTGGCCATAATGAGCGTCAATCCTCACTCCGCTTTTTCCCCGCCTCCCTGCCGCTTCAGGTTCCAAAAGGCTCATCCTCTGGCGCCATCTGCAGACGGCGCGCGGGACTCCATCCGCCGCGAGGAAACCTTTGCCAGTAGGGAGCGTCCGGGTGGAGGAGTGGGAGCGGTTCTTAGGGGTTCTGTTCGCGTGCCTGGCGGTCTAGAAGGGGGCTGCCCGCGCTGATCTCACTCCCAAGCGCTCCCAAGACTCACCGGCGGGTTTTGAGTGAGGGTCACAGAGGGACAGGTAGGGGCAGCGGGGTCCAGGCCTGAAGGGGAGGGAGAAGTGCTGGGGTGGGGTGAGGTCGTGGAGGCTGATTGGAACAATAGAGAAGCAATGCCTGGGGGCTAAGGTAACAGTGCCTGAGTGCTTGGGTTGTAATCTTGGGTCTGTTAATAGCTGTGTGTTTTGAGGCCAATTGCTTGACATCTCTATGGCTTCAATTTCCTTTGAAGTGGGGATAACTGTAGCTACCTCTTGTGGTTGTTATGAGGATAAAATTAGTTAATATTTGTAAGGTATTTAGAATAAGTTTTGTTAGATGAAATTAACAATTGGCTTTAAAGACAGTCACCAGCAGCATTAGCATCTCTCTTGAGAAATGCAAGTTACCAGGCCATGCTCCAGCCTTATGGAATCAGGATCTCTGCAGAGGGAGCTCAGGATGTGTTTCAGCAAGCTCACCAGAGGATTCTGATGCATCCTAAACTTTGGGAAGCACTGGTCCGAGTTTCTTGGGCTGGCCTGTTGATGCCTCTGCTTGTTAAAAGATGCAGATTACTGGACCTCACCCAGACCTACTGAACTTAAATATATTGAGGTTAATTCCCAAAATCTGCATTTTAAAAAACTACCCAAGGGGCTGGCCCCAGGGCGCAGTGGTTAAGTGCATAGGCTCAGCTGCTGGCTGCCCAGGTTCAGATCCCGGGCGCACACTGACGGACAGCTTGTCAGGCCATACTGTGGCGGAGTCCCATATAAAGTGGAGGAGGATGGGCACAGATGTTAGCCCAGGGCCAGTCTTCCTCAGCAAAAAGAGGATTGGCAAGGATGTTAGCTCAGGGCTGATCTTCCTCACACAAAAAAATAAATAAAATAAAGCATCCATTGCTCAAGACACTTTAAAAAAAAAAAAAAACTACCCAAGTAATAAATTTAAACATGATTGGACTGAGAATCACAAACGAGCAGACCTCTTTAATTTACAGATAGGGAATTGAGACTTCCAAGAAGGAAAGGGACTTGCCCAAGGTCTCCCTGCAGGATCCCAAGAGGCTGTGAGGCCCTAAGGTTAAAGTCCTGGACGTCTCTACTGCTGCCCCCAACTAGTCCTGTAGTTCCAGCAAACTGTCCTGTTTCCTAATCTGTGAAATGGGGGCAAAAGTCACAACTACCCCAAACGGTGACTGTGAAGATCAAATGAGACCAATGTGAGTCAACTACCAAACAGGGGTTGCCCTAAAGTGTTCATCCATCTCCAGGCCCCAGAACCGAAATGCCTGCAGGCCCTGGACCCCCGTAGGCAGGGGTTTCCCTCTAGGAAGCGAGTGATAAAATAAGGCTCCTTGGAAACTCTAGTCACCAGGGGAGTGGACTTAGGGAGTAGGTCCCATCTCCGGGCCTCTTGGTTTGGCCTGAGTGTCCTGAGCCATCCCCTGAGCTGAAGCCCCTTGTAAGAGGGGGAAGGCAAAACCACCCAGTTCACTCCCTGCGTCTTGGCCCCAGGCTAAGTCCACCATGTGGGGTGCAGTGGATACTTCTCTTACTGGAGAGAGAGAGAAAATTCCTCCATGGCTCAACAGATTCCTGGAGCACTCCCTATTCTGTCACTGCTGCCAAGTTGCAGTGGCTTTGCATCAAAGCTCTCAGAGCACAGCGCTGAAAGGGAAAGCAAAGCTGGAGCTCTATTGCAGACCTATAGGTCCTGATCCAGCCAGCTCTTGGCAGTTAGTTTTCTTGTGAGGGTCAGTTTTACACATAAGGCAGGAAAAGAAGACGGGCACCTAAAATGGCATCAGGCTAATTATTCCGAGAATGTGGTTCTGTGGCTATTCCAGTGACGAGTAAATGAAGAGGGAGCAGAGGCATCAGCTGTTAGCTAGGGTCAAGGAGCCCCGAAACTCTGGGATTGGCAGAAAGCATGTGCTGGTTGGGATGCCATTACAAATGAGTGAAAGTGGGCCACTGGGAGGGAAAAATACACACATCCCCTAGGAAACCGGGCATCTGGGAAACACGGCAGACTCTTTCTTTATCTGCTACTGAGATCTCCCTGTGAATTATTTTCCTTTTAATTTTCACTGTAGCTCAGATATACTTCTCAGTTAATGGCAATATCATTACCATCATAAGTCCAAGCTTCTCTGTCTTTCTCTCTCTTTCTCTCTCTCTTTTATTTTGGTCTATGTTCTTCCCTCTCATGTTCAGTCCCTTGTGCCTTTTTGGCCCTCCCTGGGTATTCACCATCATGTATTGAATGTGAATGCTTCTACTTCACTCCTATCTAACAGTTGGAGTAGATTGGCATCTCTAAGTCAACATGTCAAAAGTAGAGTTATTCACACACACACACACACACACCATTCATAGCACACACAGCAGCTCCGTCCTCAGATTTCCCCATATCAGTTAATGGAGACTCTATCCTTCTAGTTGCTCAAGTCAAAAGCCCAGGAATCATCGAGCCCTCTTTTTCTCTTGTTTTGGAAACACTCTATCCATAAACAAAGCTAGTGGGCTTGCCCTTCAAGATAAATGCAGCATCCGACCCCTTTCACACCTCCACCACTACCACCCAAGGCTGTGCCTCCCACATCTTTCAAGTGCTGGGATAACCTCCTAACTACCTTCTCCTTGTGCATCTTCTCTTGTCCTCCCAGAGTTTTGTGTCCACACAGCTACCAGTGATTTAAAAAACAAAAAACAAAAAAACCAGGTCATATTACTCCCTTGCTTCAAACTCTCTGTTTAGAATAATTCTCACGTTTATAATAAAATCCAGACTCCTGACTATGGCCTACAAGGTACTTAGTGCCAATGGCATATGCAAGTGCTCCTTAAGGTATGTTCCTTTCCAGGGCAAATTCTCAGTCCCCAGAGACGTCAGACAATTTCAGTAGCACCATTCTCTACAACCTCACACTTTTCTTAACTTATTAACGTCTCCTGATTCTACAAAGAAAAGAGAATCAGCAAGTCCCCTTGTGCCATAATTTGTTCTCCATCTGTGTAGATGTTGGTCCCGGTCACCTGTACCACTCTAGGAAGATTTAAGGAATAACAGTGATTTGAGAACACTATCCTAGGTTTTCCTCTAACTTTTTGATATTATTTTCACAATTATGCTTCTCAAGTTTACTCTCTCCAAATCTCACAAAGTAACTGGAATTTAAAAGGTGATTGTAGCTTCTCTGTGTATATTTTACATCAAGTCAAGTTAGGAAAAGCTTTCATGATTCTTACACCAACACCATCAACTTTTACATAAATATCTGTTCTTCTATGAGTTACAAAAGAATTGTCACCATGTTCACCTATCAATCATATTCTCCCCTTCTTTGACCAGCTTTTCAAAAATAGCACCCAATACTGAAGGTTCTTAAACAGTAAGATGTCTTCTCAAGCCCCTTGCAAAGCACTTCTTTGATCATCGGTTCGGAGATTCCTAACTCTGGCGTCCTCCATCAGGGCGGCAAAGTTCTGCATGTACTAATGTAACGTCCTGGGAACCAGGAGTGCAGATGCTGGCCCCTTCCTCCTGGTTGGCAGAGTCTATGTGCATCAGCCTCTTGGCGAAGTTGGCTCATTTGCGGAGGGGCGCCAAGTCCCGCTAGACACCCCCCAGGAGCGGGCTGCTGCCTGCTTTGGGCCATTTTTGTCCGCTGGAAGCTGGCGAAGCGCCCCGCGAGGACGCCCGCAGTTTCTGGGCAGGAGCCTCTGCCCGGTCTCGGGGGAGCTCCGCGCAGCCGCCGGGTTCGGTCCTGGATCCTCATCCCACCGCTGCCGCCCACTCCGCAGCGGCTGAAGGGCAGCAGTCACCGCGCACGAAGCACCAGTGGCCGGGCCGTTCGCCCTGCAGCTCCGACCCCGGGCGCGCTGCTCCCGCTCTGCGCGGCTGCTGCGGACTCAGAGCCCCGGGAGGCGCGCGAAGCCGCCAGCTCCTTCCACTGCCGCCCAGCGCTGCCTCAGCTCTTCACCCGCCGGCAGCGGACGCGGGTGGGCGGAGGGGATGGAGGGAAGTGAATGCTCCAAGTTTGCCCCGGAACGCGGAAGCTGGCCGTGGAGCGAGCGTGGGCAGTGAGTGGATGGGTGGGACCAAGCTGGATCATCAGGTCAAGTAGAGCGGGTGCTTGTGCCTCTCCTCCGGGCCCCACCCGACTCAGCAGCCCGCGCTCTGGGGTCCATCCCCATAATTTCTCGCCGCCCCACTCAGTGGTCCAATGAGGGCAGACAGCGCCTGCAACCTTGACGTCCATTGGCCAGGCGGTGTCAAATCCCAGACCCATTCCTGCCTGCGCAGACTTCTAGTTGCTGGCGAGAGAAGTTTCCGGAGAGAGCCCGCTGAGCGCCATTTCCGCGGCTCCTGCGACTCCCAGTGCGGCGGTCACCGGCACCCCTGGGGCAGATTCTCCGCTTCTGTGAGTGGTTCTTCCGGTCTTGAGGTGAATGTGGAGTTCTTAGGGGGTGAATATCAAGGGCACAAGGCAGAGGAACCGCAGCCTGGAGCCAAAGAGATTTTGGCGGGAGGGGAGGAAAGGCAGCTTTCCATTATGGGAATCCCCTTCCCGCTCCCCAGCTTCAAAAGTCAAAAGTTTGACTCCTGGCAAGGCACTTTGAGACAGTCTAGGTAGCTGTTCCAACCAACGTGTTGTGCGCATAGGGGAGGTGGGGGGGTGCGGGGTGGGGGTGGGGGTTAAAAGTGCAAATTCCGTAATTGCACCCGAGACGTGTTGAATCATGATCTTTGAGGATGGAATCCGGTGTCTTCTTTTTTAACAAGCTCAGAGGAGGTAATTCACGGGGACAATAAAAGTTTGATCTGAACCAAACTCTTTAATTTACAAATGAGGAAGCTGAGATGCCCAAGAGCTGTGTAGGGAGAGGGTTTGACGTTTTGGGGTCGTTCTTTCCTGGTTTTAGGTAGTTTCCTCCATTGCTGCTCTGATCAGTTCTCAGCTGAATATCTGAGGGGAACCCTCTTCTTATGCCCTGAGTTCTCTCTCTGTGCAGGTCTCTCCCTTCTGTGTCCTATGAACTCTTGCCACCTTAGTCTCTCAGCTCTATCTCCTCAAATCAGGAATCCTAACTGACTCTGCCTGGCTGCTCCTCCTTGCACCCTGGCCTGGAATCTCTCAAGCAATCAGCTGGAATAATCATAGGTTGCACCTCATTTGTCACTGCCCTTAATTGCATGATGTCCAGTTCTTTGTAAATCATTGTTTCATATATTTTGCCCTTTTGGGCTTGTTTTGTTTTCAGACTGGAGGGTAAATCCGGTCCCTTTTAGTCCATTTAGCCAGAAATCCAAGGTAATAACTGTTCTAGTGTTCTTGTCTAGTTCTGTCATCTGTGTCACTTCTGGATCTGTTTCTGTTCATTGATTTCTCTCCTCATGATGGGTCCTCGTCATGATACTTTCCTGCTCCTTTTTATGCCTGATAATTTTTGATTGGATATCAAGCTTCATTAATTTCACATTTTGAGCTGCTAGAAATTCTTATATTCCTATCAATATTCTTGAGCTTTGTTCTAGTGCTCAGTTATGTTACTTGGAAACAGTTTTATCCATGCAAGGATTGCTTTTAAATGTTGCCAGGTGGGACCAAAGCAGCCTGTAGTCTAGGGCTAATTTTGTCCCACTGTGGAGGCAACACCTTTCTGAATATTCTACCTGATACCTCATGAATTATGAAGTTTTCCAATTTGACGCTTGGGAACAGAAACTATTCTCAGCCCTGTATGAACCTCAGAGTTGTTACATCTTTTCCCTTGGGGTGGTTCTTCTCCTGGCTTCCAATAGTTTCATCACACGCATGCACTGATCAATATTTAGCTGAAATTTCCAGGGTACTCACTATAGATCCCCAACACTCTGTCTGTATAGTGTAGCTCTCTTCTCTCTAGAACTCTGCCATAGAAACTCCAGCCCCCTAGGACGCCCACAACTTTCAGCTTGTCTTCTCAACTCAGGGAAACTGCCAGGCTCTATTGTGTTTTCCCTCTCTGAGATATGTCCTGGAAACGCTCCCCAGGCAGTAAGCCAGACATCCATGGGGCTTACCTCATTTGATTTCCCTCTCGTAGGGATCAGAGATCACTGTTCTGTGCTGCCTGATGTCCAGCATTTGAAAATTATTGTTTCATCTATCTTGTCTTTTATTTCTTTAGTCATTTCAAGTAGGAGGGTAAATCCAATCCTTGTTTCTCTAGCTTGGCCAGTGGTGGAAGTAAGTTATATTCTCTTGGAACTCATCATGAATTCCGTGAAGCCTGAAGAGAACAAGTCATTCAGTGCTACAGAAAATGACCAGAGTACCAGACCTGAAGTTTCAAAGGTATGTCTGCTTTTTAACAAGCCTTTGCAGGAGCAGCCCTCTAACCATGGCACTATATTAGGATCCTAGAAGGGGATAAGTTCATAAAGAATGGAAGTTATAATCCCTTCTTTTGCGTAGCTTAAAATATATTTGGGGAAATGATACATGTAAGTGCTTGTGTAAAACAAAATGATAGAGTATGAACTAATAATGCAAAAAATGCCTTGTTAGACAACAAAGTGACTACCAAACAGTGTTAACACTTAATATCATTGGCAATATAGACAGGCAAAGATAATAACATAGTTAATGTTTACTGAGCAATTACTTTGTGCCTGGAATTATGCTTGTCATTTCCTATGGATTATCTCATTTAACATTTAATAAAACTTTGTGCAATAGATATTATTATCATCCTTATTTTACAAATGAAGAAACTGAAATCCAACTTTCTTAAAGTTGCAAAGGTAATGGACTTCAGAGCAAGGATTTTGAAACCGGGCAGTCAGACTTTGGAGCCTGGTTTTTGACCAACACACTGACTTATTCGAGATATGCACAATGAGGATACTAAGTGGAGATATAAACAACTGCTTTTGAAGTGCAGAGAGAAGAATGCTTAATTCAGACTCAAGAAATTAAGGCAGAATTGTATGAGAAAGATCTTAAAGAATGAATAAAATTTCACCAGAGAAGTGGATCAAGCATGAGGGAATAGTCTGAGTCATGTACACATGAAAACATATTTGAGGAACAATATAGCTAGACTTCATGGTATGTAAGGAGAATTCAAGAATACGGTAGACAAATAATGCTGGGAAGATGGTTTGGTACAAGATCACAGCAGACGTTATATCAATAAGAACTTTTTATTTTGTCAGGGAAAAAAATCCTGTAATTGTGAAATAATAAAATGGATTCATTGCATTAAAATTTAAAATTTAAAATTAATTTCCTCAATGCACTAACCACATTTCTAGTGCTCAGTCACCATATGTGGCTAATGGCTACCATATTGGACAAGGCAGATATAGAACATTTCCATCATTGCAGAAAGCTCTGTTGGGCAGTGCCGCTGTAGATTAAGGAATTCTGTGGCCTTGCTACTCAAAGTGTGGTCCACACAACAGCAGCATTGATACTGCCTGAGAGGTTGTTAGACCTGTGTGATCTACATTTTAACAATACACCCAAGTGATTCATATGCACATTAAAATCTGGGAAACACTGTTTTAAAATACGCTTCCATTCAAATATTATGTCTGGTGAAATCCATCATTGTTATCAGCATTATTTGCTAAGGTTTATTTAGCTTGCATAGCATTGTTTCAAAACGAGACACTTTTAGCCCCATGAGGGGAAAAAAAAAATGGATTTCATTGGTTCATGCATCTGGAAAGTCCAGAGTTACGCTGAGCTTTAACTCAGCAGTACACAATTTTTTCAAAGACGTATTTATGTTTTCAGTCTCTATACTCTGCTTTTTGTTTCAAGCCTCTGGCTGGCTTTCTGCGTAGTGACCATCCAGCTTCAGTAATTTCAGAGTTCATATCTGCATTCTTGACCATCCAGATAATGAATCTATCCTGGTACCCTGAGAAAACTTCTATTTGCCATCTAATTGTTCCAAGCTAAGTAGCTCAACCATGCCTGCACAAAACCTTGTGGCTAAGGGGGCACTTAGAGTAATCAAGATCTATTCCTGAGCTGGCATGAATTCATTTCTATACACATTTATAGCTGCTAAGGAAGGGGAGAGAGGTAGAATAGCTTTTTGGGAAATCACTGCAGTATCTTTTGCTTCCTTGAACTCCATGCTTAGGTATTTGGATTTTATTCTACAAGTAAAGGAGAGGTATTTCCAGCTTTTGTTCTTGTGTTATTTAGGAGGAGAGATTTAACTGAAACTTGAAGTTAAATATTCGTGTTAAAATACCTAGTGCTACACTGTTCAATACAATAGTCACATGTGGCTATTTAAATTTAAATTCAACTTAACTAAAGTTAAATATTGGAAAAACTGAGTAATTCAGATTCTCAGTTGCACTAACCACATTTCAAGTACTCGGTAGCCACATGTGGCCGTCGTATGGGGCAGTGTAGATGCTAAACCTTTGGATCATTGCAGAAAATTCTATTGGACAGTACTCATCTAGGGCATCCACTTATAGAACAAAACTATAATGTAAAACTTCAAAATTATTTGGAGGGAAAATGGAATGAGGGGAAATAATTGATCTAAAAGAAGACAATAAAGCAAGAGAAAATAAATCTAGAAAAAGTGGGAAAAATAGTTGAGCAATTCCACTCCTAAGTGTACCAAGAGACGCTCTTTCACATGTGCATCAGGAAACATATCAAAGAGATTCGTAGCAGCACTGCAGCTCTGTTTGTAGCAGAGAAAGGTTGGGAACAACTGAAATGCACGCAAACAGTTTCTTCAATGGATTCTATTTAAATGAAAGTGAATGTAGGACTCTCCATCAACTAGAATGAACCCCAAAAAAGTAGCAAAACAAGTCACAGAAGAACACATTCAGTAAGATGCTTTTGTATAAACTCAAAAACAGGCAAAACTAAACATATGCTACTTATATTTTGACTACATATATGAATGTCTCTAAAGAAATGTGAAGTAATAATAATTTTAAAACGAATTTAGGAATAGTGGTTGTCTATGAGAATGAGAAAGGGAGAGAAGATGAAGAAGGGGCATACTGAAGCCTTCTAATGAATTGTAATATACTATTTCTTAAGCTTCGTGGTAGATACATAGATGTTTCTTATTATTATTTAAAATATAGGATATGTCATATACTGCTTTTGCATGTGTATTATGTTTCATAATTTTTAAAAAATGGCACATAAGAGATAAAATAGGGACCAGCCTGGTGGCATAGTAGTTAAGTTCCAGGGCTCTGCTTCGGCGGCCCGGGGTTCACAGGTTTGGATCCCGGGGGTGGACCTACACACCACTCATCAAGCCATGCTGTGGCAGGCGTCCCACATATAAAGAAGAGGAAGATGGGCAGGGATGTTAGCCCAGGGTCAATCTTCAGTAGCCACATGAAGCAAAAAGAGGAGGATTGGCAACAGATGTTAGCTCAAAGCTAATCTTCCTCACACACAACAAAAAGAGAGATAAAATAGAAGGAGAAGCTGAAGATGATTCCTAGGGTGCTAGCTTGGGTGGTTGAGTGGGTGACAGCACCATTAAAAGACTCAGGAAACATGGGGAAAAAGGGAATGATGAGGGGTAAGTTTTATGAGTCTGCTTTTGAAAGGGTTCGGTTTGGTTTTGAAAGTGTTGAGGGTGAAATGCCTCTGATGTATCCCTGAGTAGATGTCCAACAGGCGACATTTATTATATCTGGAACTCAAAACAGAGGACGTTGCTGCAGATACAGATTTGGGCAGTAAATAGTAGTTGAAAACCTGAAGGAATAGGAAAGCGCCATGAAAAGAAGAAACTCACTATGCCCGAAACCTAAGCCCATTCCATTGCACCTTCCTCTTAAATAAACCAAACCCAGGTGTCCTTTCTGACTTTACTCTCTCCAGCTTTATTCCTCTATTCCCATAGACTTGGTCCGAGACTTCAGATTCCACAATAATTGCCATCCAAGTTCTATTGACTCCTATGGTGGAATATTTTTCACTTATATCCTTGTTTTTCATTCCTGTTGCCATCAGTTTATCAATACTTTTTCCTAGGCTATTTCCAACTGATTGTATATGTATATGTTTTGAATATGTATATTTGCTTGTACACATAGCTAATCCTGTGATTTATCAATCATTTTAGTATATTTCCTTAGTGCTGTTGAAACCATGTACAGAATGGAAACTAGACAGATATTTAATGGGAATTTTTGAAAGGTGATGTTTTAAACGTCCAAAAGATTTATTAAATAAGTCCAGCTTTACTAGTAAATAAATAAATCCAAATTTAAAAAAGAATCATCTTAGATGGCATTTCATCTATCAATTGACAAACATTTAAAATAATAATGCTGATATCGTTTTGAGGAGTCAGCTATATGGTTGATCTCCTTGGGCAGCAGGGGAGGAGAGACAGGGTGAGTTGATACAACTTTCCTGGAAAGCAGTTTGGCAGTATATATGTTGTGAACTACTTTTATAACCTTAGTCTCAGTATTTCCACTTCTGGGAATGTGGCCTAAGTAAATATTCAGATGTGCAAACAAAATGTTTTACGTATAGAAATATTTGTCATATTTAGAGTTGTAAAAAATTGGAAACAATCTAAATATCCAGCAATAGAAGAATGGATTAGAAATTATTATACAGTGAAATATCATATGGCCCCTCAAATTGTGTTTTCAAAGGTTGTTTAATGACATGTGAAAGCACTGGCGGATTGTTTAGTGAAAAATAAACTCATATGCAGCATAGAATAATTTGAGAAACATAAGATTTATGTCTGCACGTAAAATAATAGAAACAAATAAAACAAAATGTACAATGGTTATCTCTGGTAATGGAATAATGATCAATATTTTTTCTCCATTGCTCTTTATCCATTATATTATCCAATTTTTATTCAGAATATCTATTAGTTTTACCATTAGAAAACATGAAATATTATTAAAGGCGATCCTTATTAAATTTTTAACTTTTCCCTTTTTAAGGATGTCACGAAGCAGACATGTTCTGGCACACCTGTTAATCGTTCTCTGTCTGATACAGAAGAGTGTAGTGGCACCATTAAGCATGAAAGTGAAGTTATTAAGCGTGAAGCATCCCATGAAATTCAGAACCCAAGTTTGAGCACCAATAAACAATGTAGTTTCACCTTTACTTTGAATGAAAGCTCCAGGAAGCCAGACCGTAGTGTGTTTACAACATATGGTGAACTCAATGAGAATATCTACTCAGCTCTGAACGCTAATGACAATTTCAGTGAAAGGATGAAGAATCATTTGAATAAGAACATTATTGTTTATGAAGAAAAAACAATAGAAGGATATATAAATTTAGGAATGCCTCTCAAGTGCCTACCTAGAGGTTCTCATTTTAAAATAACATTTGGTCAAAGAAAGAGTAACCAGGAAGAAGATGATCAGCTATTACGCCAATGTAAAAATCCAAATGTCGAATGCATTCTTTTTCACGTTGTTGCTGTTGGGAAGACGATAAAGAAGATTCTTAAGATCAAGGAACTTCATGAAAGAGGAAGTACACTTTGTATCTATGCCTTGAAGGGTGAGACTATCAAAGAAGCCCTGTGTGAGGATGGCCGATTTCGGTCTGACCTAGACGAATTTGAATGGAAACTAATGGAAGGTCATAATAAAATTCATGGAAAACAGTCCAAGGTAGATGAAGTATCTGGAAAAGTCTTAGAAATGGACATTTTTAAAAAACAATTTGTCAGGAAAGGTACCTTTAATAAAATTAAACAGGAGAATGAAAATGCCACTGATGAAACCAGTCCCTTGCGTCCGATACAGTCTAAGATTGAGGTCTATGAAGAAGACAAAGATGGAGAGACTGAGGATGCAGAACACAACAGAGGGAAAAAAACCTCACGAGTTAGGCAAGGGCCCCATATGGCTGTGCAATATGCTATTAATGAGGCTATCCAGCAGGAGGCAACTAATCTCAGGATAAAGAATTTCCAAATGTTGGGCAAAGTTATAATGCATCAGTATCCGAATTTTAAAGAAGAGACACTTTGGATGAGAAAGTATTTTCGGGAAGAGCAGAAGAGAACAAAACTGCCAACGTTTAAACAATTCAACCTATATAAAAAGTACTTTGGAAAAGTGACTGAAAATTCTACTTCAGTTGCAACCTATGAACATCTTATTCATCTTAGTAAGTCAGTCGGGTACATGAGATGGGACAATAATGGAAACACGGGCAATGCTACTTGCTTTGTCTTTAATGATGGTTATATTTTCACCTGTCGACATGTTGTAGATCTTATGGTGGGAGAAGGGACAGATCCAAGTTTGTGGCCAGATATAATAAGCAAATGTGCAAAGGTAACTTTCACTTATAACAAGTTCTGTCCTACTGATGCTGATTGGTTTTCCATCGAGCCATGGTTTGAAGTGTCTGATGCAACTCTAGATTATGCCATTTTAAAACTAAGAGAAAATGGAAGTGGATTTCCTCCAGGCCTGTTTAGACAAATTTCCCCTCAACCAGATAATGGTTTGATTTATTTAATTGGTCACCCAGAAGGCCAGATCAAGAAAATAGATGGTTGTGCTGTGATTCCTCTAGGTCAACGGCCAGGGAGGTACCCACAGCATCATCAAGATGGGGTGGTAGGACCCTATGCTGCCACTTACAGTGCTTTCCCTATGTTTACCCAAAGAAGTTTCCTATCAGAGGCTTGGAGAATTGACACACTTAGCTATGATACTTGTTTTTCTAGTGGGTCCTCTGGCTCCCCAGTGTTTAAAGCATCTGGCCACTTGGTTGCTGTGCATTCCATTGGGCATTTTTATCAATGTGGTAATATGGTGCATGCTGTTATTGAATTTGGCTATTCTATGGAGTCAATTCTTTGTGATATTAAACAGAAAAATGAGAGCTTTTATAAATTACTAAATGAAGAGAAAAATGAGAACCACAGTGAAGACAAAAATAACAAACAAGAGTCGTCATTTCAAGATCATCAGATTGAACCCATGGAACATTAGAAAGAAGATGCTGTTTTCAGGAAAATAGGCCAATAATTTAGAGTATTTGGGGCTGTTTCCTTAAAATATAATGAATATTCTTTTTTATTAGAAAAATTTTAGAGAATCATGTAGATGTACAAAACAGATATTAGACCTCAAATAAATATTGATTTTTTTCTCATTGGTGCTTTTTTTTTTTTTTAATTTGAAACAATCTGAAGCCTCACTTAAAATACTTAGCTCACTGATACATATACAAAGAATTTGGTGTTTGCCATTCTAAATTCCTAGTATGGTACAGCCATCCATCTTCCTAACTAATGAAGTGATTCTTGTTCTCTGAGTAACAAGATATGTTTACAGTTAGAGTTAAGGAAAAAAGATGTATTGTTCCTCTAACACCCAAAATTCTTTGGTAATCTTACTTTTTCCCCTTGGCATCAGCCTCTATTGCAAATGCCAATAGAAAATCCCAGCTTTTCAGTTCTTTAATTCTGCACTTCTGTGGCAGATACAAGGAATGACTTGCTTAGTCTCCATCCCAACCCGTTCATGTTCAGAGTCTAGAAAGCTAAAAGCTATCTCAGTCTAACTTGCACCTAAGATTCTGGGTATAAGTCAGATTCCTCTAAATAGATGCACTTGCATATTATTTGGAAGATGGAAATAAGATGCAAGCCATCCTTCTTGCTCCATCTTCTGGAAAACTAAATCATAGAAAAGTGAGTGTCTAGAGATAGCAGTGTTGGCCACATTCAGTGTCAATGTCTAGTCATCAGCTTCATGGGTATCCGGGAGTAATCACAGCAGTAGCAGCAGCCAGAATCAGCATTGCCATGTCTAGTCATTCGCTTCAGTGGTGTGGAGGGGCATTTGTAACAGCTTCCTAATCTAGCCTCCTGACTCCTGGATTGCAGCTGAGAGAGTATATTCCTGAACTCAGTAATTCCAATGTTGGTCTTCTGAATCTCACTGCTTTTATCATTCTGAAGATTTTCCAGCACTTAATCCCTTCAGTTAAATCTCTTTTACCCGCACTGAACTCTGATATACCCTCCTTACCAACTAGCAATTGATTGGACTGTCCAAACATGTGATATCTCTCAGTTTCGAAAAAGCTGACTCAGAGAAATTGTTGGTTCAGAAACTCTAGATCTGTATGTCTGTTAGAAAGGATATAGGAACAACTGCTGAATTTCAAAAATAAAATGGTAGCTTAAATGAGAGAGAAGTTTATTTTTCTCTCACATGATAGCCTGAACGTACTCTCCTCTGTGGTTGTGGGAATTCACGGCGTCAAGGTATTGGGTTTCTTCAGTCAGGTTACACCACAATCCTCAATATGCAACATGGTCCAAGATGGCTGTTAAACCTCCAGCCAACGCACCCACACCGCAGCCAGGAAAATGTGCAAAAGGTAAATGTACCTCTTCCTCTTAAGAACACCATCCAGAATCTGCATATATCATGGCTGCTCATACCCATTGTCTACAACTTGGTTACATAGCTCACTTTGCTGCAAATCAGGCTGTGAAATGTAGTGTTTATTCCGGATGACCAGAAACCCAGCCTAAATTCTATTACTGTTGAGTAAAGGGAAAATGGATACTGGGTAAACTAGTAGTGTCAACCACAGTCCACCCATCTAGCCCCTCTAGTATCTATAGATCCTCTTCTTTCCATATACAAAGCACACTTACCCACTTCCCAAGATAGTCCAGAATTTCTGGGTAATGTGCATTTCTCTCCATCACATCTGGATGCAGCTCCTCATGGTCCAGAGATGTATCTGCCCATTTGCCCTCATGCTATTCACATACCCAATATACCGTAGTGGAATATGGCCAGAATCCAACAACTTAAATTTTTTACTAAGAAAAAGGGAGAATGGAAACTATAGCAGTCACCATCCCATAGCAGAGATCAAATTCTGTTGTGCAGGAATTGTCAGGATGCCCAGCGCTGGCAGGGGGTACCATTTCTGGTTAGCTCATATTGCAACTCTTGGTTACTGCTCAGTGGAGTTGGAACTGCCTTGACCATTGTCCTTCACAGCCCCAGATTTTATCCTTCAGGGTGTTCTCTTTTGTCCATTGTTTTCTATGGCCATTTATTTATCTATTTTAAAGCCTAGTTTTATTAAGTTAGGATTTATGCACAGTAAAATACATCCTTTTTGGCATATAGGCCTATGAATTCTGACAAATGCATATACTTGAGTAACTGCTACCACAATCAAAAAGTTAAAAGTCAAACTATTTTTTCATAAAAGTATAACTGCAGTGCTGTCGGCATGCTTACAAACATTTAATGATAATTTTAGTCAGTGTATATCTTTCCCTAACTTCTCCTAAATTTGCTGTTAATTTTTGTTTTACATCTGGGTTTTTCAAATCAGAATCCAAACAAACTCTACACATTGTATTTGGTGGCATGAGTCTCTTAAGTCACTTAATGTGGAAATTTCCCCTTTCTCTTTATTTTTTCCTGACATTCATTTATTGAAGAAAGTGGGTCATATTTGTCCTGAAAAATATTCTACATTCTGGACTTTGCTGTCTCATCCCTGTGATATCTTTCAATGTGTAGCTGTAGTCTCTGTATTTCCTGTAAACTGGTGGTTAGATTTAGAGGCTTGATTATATTCAGTTTGGACTTTTTGCCAAGAAACTTCCTAGGAAGTGCCAAGGAATGTCTGGCCTTCTGGTTGCATTTACTGGAACTTTTATTGGCAAAAGAGATTAATAAAAATGGCAGAGATTGTAGATTTAATGGGGAAAATGTGACGGTGTTCTTCTATCCAGTACTAGTATGTGAGATATATATTGTTATAATTATTTACTTATAAGCCAATTCAAGGGCCCAAAGTGCTTATTCAAGAGACATGCTTTCTTTCTTAATCACTACCTGAGTAGTAGGGAATTAGGTTCTACCCTCAGCATTTGACTCATTATTTCTATATGAGTCCATGTGGGCTAGCATTTCCTGTTTTAGTATTTACTGAAACGGAAAGGAGCAATTGCACAACAAAAGGAGAGATATAACTTTAACCAAAAGGAAACTTTTAGACATTTTCATAAAGCTGTGGGCCCTCTAGTCAAATCTTGGGAGCCCAGTACTCCTGTTACAACCACGCGCATAAAGGTTTCAAATCACTTAATCCTGCTGCTGCAACTAAATCTCCACGGAAGGTTACTCATGGAAGCTCTTAACTGAGTGAATCAGATCTTCAAACTTATTTTTTTTAATAGTACTCAATTGAAGCCTGCCCTTCTCAGCGCCAATCCTGAGAGCCTGTGCTGTTGCTTCGGCTTGCCTGCCATATGATCTCTGCCCCATCCCTCTGAACCTAAGATGGGTTCAACCAGATGGGCCAAACGGTGGTTCTAAGTGGTTATAGTAAGATTCATTCTCCACTGAAATTTTAGGTATAGCTTATCATTGGGATTTGCAGGAATCAGACACATAGACTCTGTGATTTTGTGACAGGAAGCACATCCAAATTTCGGATCCATAGCTCAAATGTCACCAGCTCTGTGCTAGCATCCTTGTAGCCTTCTTCATGCCACCACTGCATCCTGTTCATTTCTGTATTATAGCACATGAGTTATGACTCCCTTGTTACTTGTCGTGCTCACCTACTAGATTGTAATTTATTGGATGGTGAGGACAATGTTACATTCCTTTTTATATCCCCAGTGCTTAACACTATACTTGGCACACACATAAAAGTTCCTCCAAAAAGAATGAATAATTTTTTTTTAAAGAAGAAGAATTTAGGTTTATAGTTCTTAGACACAGATCAATGAGAGATGAGTAACAGCTATCCCACAGAGCATATTAAGGGGACTGCTCCCCCAACAGTTGCTTATATTGGGACCGTACAAATCACTAAAGATAAGACCCCACGGTGGGTCCCCTCCAGCACTCTCCTTTCTGTCTTTGCTTCTTGGTTATCCTGGGTTTCATGCAACCTTGCAAAGGGCAGCCAAGAAGAGCAAATTAGAGGCTGGTCCACACCTTGCTGGTGAGATGACATGCCCATCCATCCACATTGAGCTCATGGGCTTCAGCCTGGTTTTTTTTTTTTTTTTTTGTGGTTTGTTTATTGTGAAAGTCAGTTATACATTTAAAGTAGAACTAAAAGACAGCCACTCAAAACGAAATCTGGCTAATGTTTCTGGTCAGTTTAACCATGTGATTGAGCCACTTCCCCCAATTGCCAGCAAAGGAGAAGAGTGTGGAGAAATAAATTAATTGCTAGGCTTCAAGGAACACAAAGAGTCTGCAATCAGTCTGGCCATTTCAGTGTGCTTTTGCTGTTGCCTCTATAAAAAGGCTAGGAAGGAAACCTAAGATTGAGGAATTAAACTTCCTGATATGTAATATATTGATTTACAAGAGAAAAATATATAACTTAAAATATATTTAAGGGTCCAGCCTGCTGTCCCCCTTTTCAGGGCCAGAAATACTCGGCAGCTAACTTCATAACAGCAGACTCCTTAGCCCTGCGCCAAGAATCCCTTTACAGTTTTACAATAATCCAGAGTATCACGAGTGATGGAGAAAACGGCATTTGAGACTTCGTTTGCCCAGGGAAGGTCTGGCGGATCGTTAGTAAACTAAAGGGGTAGTGAAGCGGGCTCGACAGGCCAAGCCAACCTCAGTACTAGCACCTTTAGACCAACTGATGGATCTCTGAGGAGCACGTGAGAGAGAACGTCCTGCTCCCACACTTGACAGCTCTCTGCTAACCTCTCCCGCCTCTCCAACACAGAGAGGGAAAAGCAGTTTCCTAGGCTTCAAGCTCTGCCCCTAGAGAACTGAGGATTGGGTAAACCACCTCCTTATCGTGCTGCCATTGGGCACAAAGGATGTCAACCCTTGCCCCGGCTCCGTGCCCCCCTCCCCCCATTCCCGCAGGTTCATCCTCTGGCTCCATCTCCAAGTGGCGCGCAGGACTCCACTCGTGGTGAAGAAACGGCTTTGCTGGGTGCGGTTCTTAGGGGCTCCGCTCGCCGGGCAGAGACTGTCTTGGAATAGGGCTGCCCGCACTCATCTCATTCCCCGTGGCTGCGAGTCGTGGAG